GAAATGCCCCACCCTGGATTCCACTGCGTGGGCCCCCAAGCACCTGGAGACAAGTACTCATTTCCGAGATCTTCAAAAAGTTCGTGGAGTGACCAGCTGGTGGTGCAGTAGTAAAACACGAGGCCGTCTGGAGCGGACCACAGGGAAGGTTCCAGACCAGGGTCTGGAGACCTCTCTGCATACCCCAGGCCCACATATGCCCATGTTCAGGGTTCGCGAAGGCTGAGGCATCAGGACCCGTCAAGGGTGCTGCATCTTTTCCTCTGTCTCTCTCACTCACGGGATAAAGAAATAAAAGTTTTTAAAAAGAAGGAGAAGAAGATTTGGGCCAGTCCCACAGCCTCGCGGTTAAGGGAGCCAGATCCCACATCACCAACTGCAGCCCACGTGGCTTGAAAAACACAGTGGGCACATGTGTGTATGCTTCCAAAATCCCAGTGGGAAGGAGAAATGGAGGAGGGGTGGGGACATGACCACGCCCCACTGTGGAGTCCTCACTCCCTCTCTGGTGAGTGCACATGCCTTCTGGCAATCATAAAAAAGAAGGAAAAAAGGTTCATGAAAAATACATGTTGTGAGAAAACTATGTGTGGATTTTAAAAATACTTTAATTCTATCTTTCCATAAATGGTTGACGTCCCTTTGAGAACTGTTTAAGTCCAATATCCCTCCCCTGGAAGTGGCTTTACTCAAAAGTGAAAGCACGAGGCCAGATGGTGGCGCAGCGTCAAAGACACAACACCTGGGACCAGCAGTTGGCGTGATGGCTATGTCACTGGACTCCCATGTAGACAACTGTGGTTCGAGTCCCAGACCCGGATGGCTTAAACTCATGCCAGGTGCATGTGCGTGCATGCCCAAGATCCCAAGAGAAGAATGGAGAAGAAGGGATTGCGGTTTGTCCATCCCCCCTGGGGGGTGATTTCTCGCTTTCTGTCTCTCTCTGTCTTCCTGGCAAGTGCAGGCACCCGACAGCAAAATCCTCTCAAAACAAACAAACAAACAAAAACACAACACCCTGTGGAACTGACCACACGAGAGGGTTCCAGCCCCGGTCAGGAGACCGCCCTGTCTCCAGGCACAGGTGTGCCCACGACTGGGGCTTGCTGAGTGGTGGCATCAAGGCCCTGCTGGCGTTGCTGTCTCTTTCTTGTTCATGGAAAGAATAACTACATGGGCTCTTTTTTCATAAACTTTATCTAAATATTTTTTAATTTGCTATAGGTTGTGTGTGGTCACCTGAGAGAGAGACAGAGAGAAGGAAAATGAGAAAGTGTCCCCGTGGGGGTAGACATGCTACAATCCCTGCTCCATTTCTTTTCCTTTCAAAACTGTGGGCATGCATGCACATATGCCTGGTGTATTTCTCAAGCTCCCAGGTCCAGAATTCAAAGCACAGGACAGGCCATATGGGATCCTGCTGCCTTAACCACCCTGCTGGCTCATACGTGTGCGTTAGGAAAAAAGAGAGAAAGAAAAAAGAAAACACAACTCCTTTTCTGCCCTGCACACCTTCACCAAGCCCCAGGGTACAGAGAAAACTTGGGTTTTGGACTCAGCACTACATTTGGAAACTTCTTCCAGCGCTGAATGTTAAGATTCCAGATTCCTGCGGGAAAACAGGGTATTTGGAAAAGTGGCTTGTTAAAACACTGTCACCCCCAGGCCCCCTTCTCTCACCATATCCCTTTAGGAAAGGATGTGCTAGAGAAAGACTTCAAAGTCTCTTTCAAAAGGGAAATCACATCTAGAAAGCTTCTCTCAGA